TTGAGTCATTGAGATGAGGTTATCATGACTTGTTTTAATATTTGAAATAAGGTCTTATTCTCAAGGATTTTATAAAGGATATGAGAGGATGAAAAAAAATTCACTTTCAACCTTTTGTTCTCTTCAACATAATCATGTTATTTTAGGGACCATCAAATCTGCACCAAGATGTATGCCTGAAACTACCTAGTAAAACTGCTACCCAGAGTGGGCTAGTCATCCATTGTGAAAGTTTTTTTTTTTTTTTTTTTTTTTTTTTTTTTTTTTTTTTTTTTTGTCATCAACAGTGAATTCTGCACTTGTTTACTTTTCTGGTAACATGTTTATGTATGTATAAATACTACAACTAGTTCATGAAAATCAGCTGCTTATAGGAAAACTACTAATTCATCTAATTAATCATGGAACTAAGAAAAAGGCAATACGTTCTCTCTGTTTCCTTTTGACTACAGTTTGATGATTAAACATTTTTCTTTTGGAAGAAAGTCTAACTAGCTGATGCAAATAATTGTGTGCTACTGTACTGCCTAGTAGATGGATCCAAAATGTTAGAATGTCAATGGAGTGAAAATGAGTGAATTTGATCCAAATATATTAATTATTTTTATTAGTAGAGCCTACCTAGATATGACAGGTTGCTTGAAGAATTGGCCTTGTTGTTCGAGCCGTACTTTTCGACATAATTGAAAATTTCAACCTTTGTTTTCAAAATATGTCAACTGTGCATGTATATTACTACTATACTTGATTTTATTTGGCTATTCACAGAAAAACAAACAAATTAAAGAAGAAAAATTGATGTAAAAGTCAAAAAAATAATTATCAAACTGATCTAATTTGCAACTACTGCTTCCTGGTAGTGTGAGTATCTCTATCAAATCCGTACAATTGACTCTGAAAATTAAAATATGAATTATAAAACCTTATTTGGACTTGTATAGTTGTATGTCCATCAAAATTGTCTGAAAGATTTATATATTACTTTGCTTGAAATATATCCGTATTCTTGGGGTGTTAATTAGTTAAAATTTACGAGTACAATGTTGATCGCTTTATAAATTTGGGAACCTGAAATTGAGTATTATCAATTACTTCGACAGAGTACATTATTATCTTTTGTAACTCTCTAGACCTTTTTATTAATTTTTATTCATGTCTTTGAAAAACATTTCAATCAATGCACATTCACATTAAATAAGACAAAAGGATTCTAATTTGTGATTGAAGTGTATGACATGAAGTTGTCATTTGTTAAAGAATTTATTTAGATTGTTAGGTGGGTTTACTGATATTGCAAACGTGAGCTATGTCTCTTAATATGATTTGCTGGCTTAAAATCCTTGAGCTTTTCGTTCCTTATATTACTCCCTGAAATTGGGCACTTATCTGTAATATATCATCAAATACTGATGACCTAAAAAGGTTTTTAGGTTTTTGATGTGGGGGTGATGTGGTATAGGTGTGGCCTGTGTGGGGCTGCCAGATGTAAGAAGTTACAGTCTACCTTAGTTCCTTTGTATGTACGTCTATGAATTGTGAAGTTTTCACTTTGCATAATGAATAAATGATGTTCTTTAGAGTCTCGTAAATTCGTTGTGCATATGAAAGTTGTTCCGTATTAGTTAACTTAGTTATACAAATAGGGAGTTAATCCTCTCATCATTAATTAGTTTTTGGCACGTGTAAGAACGCGATTGCATTTTTTAGACCACAGAAGGGGTACTCTAGTCCATTCATTGTCCCAGAATTATACAGAGTAGATTTGTAGTTTAGCATCAGCTAATGATAAGGCAGACCTTTGAATAAAACTACTAGTCTACCACCAAGTATTATTCATGACATTTCCTTTTTGTTTTTTAGACTGAAAACCTTGAAGTTTAGCCATATACACTGTATCATCGACTGTGTCATGAAACCCCTATTTCTTCTGCTAAAAACGAATAGAAACTCTAAGGAATGCATACTTTTCAAATTATGCTGGTTTCGGTCACCGCCTATAATATAGACTTAAAGAGTCATTAGGTGTCATCAGTGATTATGAACTGTTAGATTAAGCAGCAAGTTTTTGCAAACAAAGCAATGGGCCGGAACATATGTTAGTGTTTGAACAGTTTGGTGTGCATTTGTTATCTTATTCGGTCTTAAACGTATCTTGGTGAAAGGGTGAAAAGTTCGAATTGATAGTGATATAATCAAATAATGGATGCCATAGTTGTATTCATCTCTTAGTATCCCGAGGACAAAAGCCATTACAATTACTTTAGTTGACTGAGTACACCATACCTTTTAGATTATATTTCATCAAGGCAACTACGAGTAAAAGAGAGACCAGGTCAATCTTTTTTAGCTTTTGTGCTTTCATTTGTCGTTTATCTTTTTTGACTTGTGCTACATGTCCATTTTTATTTTTACAGTTTACATTTTTGTAATTTCTTTAGACTGTGTAACGTGCACACATCCAAGTTTCAGGCATTGATATTTTATTAGTCATAATTGGATCTTTTGCTTGATTTGTATCCTTTTGAATGGTATATTGTGGATAATTTTTTGCTAAGAAAAATGAAGAGCCCTATCTAGTAAGCACCTCCACCTTATGTACTTGGATTTATACTATTTTATGGTGCATTAAAAAATTGCTTACCCGAAAAAAATTGTACGTTTCCATTTTAAGTCCTGTTAGGCTGTTTTGTAAGTGTATTCAGATGTATCTTCACTAATAATTTGTTCCTCAATTCCTTGTACTCCCTCATTATTATGTGAATTGCAAGAAGATAGTGAAAAGGGAGTACATGACAAATTCATAAAGGAAGCATTTTTTTTTTGTAATAAGAACACATGAGATGTATGTGCATTCCTTTCATTTGTTATTCCTATAAAAAGTGAATCCACCTTTTCAGACATGGAAAAATACGACCTATACCGAAATTGAATAGTCTAGCCTATGCATGGATTGAATGTCTACAAGTTTTTAATATATCTCTTGTATTACTCCGTATTATTTTAGTATAGAAAGTAGGCCTGTTAAAAAGAGGAAAAACGAAACAAAAAAAAAAAAAAAAAAAAAAAAAAAGCTAAGAACACAATAGTTGTAACCAGGAAAGAGCAATAAAAGAAAGGGCAATAAATTATTGCAGACCAAATAGGAAAGGACTTGTTAACCAGCGCATTTAGATTGTTGTTAGTGAAAAAAACAAGGGATTGATGTTTCTCTATTGGGTAGTTCTGGGATTTACTTTTTAATAGTTGTAACTTGTCCAGCGTGATTGGCATGCAGCCTTTTGTCATTAGATTTCTGTAATATGCTATGTCCTGATGTAATTTTCTTACTTTGCTACCAGTCAGATGAATAAATAATATGTTTGGAGTTGAATCTTAAATGTGAAACAAGAGAGCATTTGCGCATGTGAATATGGATGATTAGTCCTCTTCCCTCGGAGAAAGGTGTTACAGAAAATGGGTATTGAAGCTTGATGAGTAATGAGAAATATTTTGTAATGAGCTGAGGTCTGTGATCTTGAAATGCTGTTACAATTACAATTCAAGGTACAGCATGCCATGGATCACAGTCAGTTATATTCTGGGGAGTGGATTTGTTTATTAATTACAGCAACACGTAGACCAGTTATATATTTGATTTGTGCAGATTAATAGCACAACAACAAAAGAAATAAAACCTGAAAAAGATGTTCAGAAAATACATTGCTTTCTTATCATGTTAGAGGGTCTAAAAGATGCATTGCGTTGGAGGCTAGATTTTGTATTGGAGCTTGACTTACTTTTTTGTTACTGTAAGATGTTTTCCTATAGCATAATCACCTTTATTGATTGTTTAATTGGAGTAATAAATTTGTTACAATGATGATAAAGTGAGTACTCACTCCGAACCATAGCAGATCAAGCTTTGGGACAATGTTAATTCAGTTGTGGGACAAAGGGAAAGTATAATTTGCTACTACAGCACACATCAGTACGTCACCTTTATGGTCTGTTTAATTGGGGTAATAATTTAGTGAGAATGATGATAAAGTTGTATTCACTCTGTAGTAGTAGATCGAGCTTTGGGACAAAGGGAGTATAATTTTTCTAGGGATGACCAAGTTCACAAGAGGCAGGAGGATGTGTGGATCCTGGTATCTTGGCCTTGTCTAGACTGGGTAGTTCCTGAATTAGACTTCCACAAGGCTGATATTATTCCCAGATCCTTGGCTTGAGTAACAAGCAAGAGCCAAAATAGCAAAAATCACCTACACCATAATACTGACAGAAAAGTAGGATCAATTGCATGCTTGCTGTCTGTTTCATTCTATAACCCTTAAGGTACTGCGAAATATAAGAAAACAAAAGGATAATATTTTGATTAAGAATTCTGTCTGATATATTTTACTAGATTAAGTTTTATTTGGGAATCTAATTGATGATAATTATAATTTAAACATATAGTATTGAATCTCATGACTTTACCCTTCATATGATATTAACAATGTGGCATTATTCCTGTACTAGTAGATTTGTTTATACATAATCTCTGATTATCGATCATAAAATATAATATGTTCAGTAAGTTAGTGTAAAATGATTGCAGGCTGATTGATACAAAATATTACGTGGAATAGCCTTGGTTGCTGGCAGAAGTATAGACAGGAAGATAACTATAAGAGAATGCAGCCATTTTTTGATGCCCAAATTGCAAAGTTTGAGCAAGGTGTGTCCAAAATAAACTAATAAAGTACCTTTCCGACTATTATACTGCTTTTTTTCTTGCAGAACTGGGAAATACTGTTACAAATTCATTTACCATGTTTTTTTATGTGTAGTTGTCAAGATAATATCTTATACTGTACGTTCTTCCCTGAGACATTCTTCCCTGAGACATCTTCAGAAAAGCTTCTGGTTTCAAGTGGATAAACCTGCTGTACTTTACTCAATAATCCTAACTTTCATGACATACCTTAAGCTAGCTCTGATCAAAATTTTAAATGCTGTTGATTGGAAAATAGATGAATCACAAACATATGCATTTTTCATACAAAAATCACATGATATATCAATGAAATTTACTGTGAACCTTATCCAGAATTCCGCTGGTACAAATAATTTACACCATATTATGCTACTCTTATTATTGCTATCCTAAGAACCTGGGTCTCAATAGAGCCTACAGCATCCCATTCTGATAAGCGTCGAAACTAGATGCAGGTGTGTTGACTAGGGAGCTCATGTCTTCCCAGCTGCTGCTGCCTGCGGAATTGCTTGTGGTGCTACTGTTGTTGCCTACCTCAACACCAGAAAAGCTCTCGTTTCCATCAAACCTTAACTGATTACTTAAGTATGCTTCAAATTCTGGAGGAAAACTCTCCTGTCCTTGATGTATATTCATGCTCACACCATTTGCATCATATTCCATGTTTAGCCATTGGGTAAAATTCACATTCGTCGTGGAATTTATGGCTACTGCTGAAGATGCTTGAGCATTAGACGAGTCTAGAACATAAAGCTGGTCTTGAGTGGGATATTGGTAACTGCCACCGTTGTTTATGAGTTGAGAATCGTCATAAAACTGTCCCCCGATCTTGGTCAGTAGTCTTGTGAGCTGATCTTGATTTCCGAGATGATGAGCTGCAAGACTTGGGTGCATCATGGGCATGGATGTTTGTTGCTCAGCCCAGTAAGGTACTTGATTCAAGGTTTGATTAACCATAAAAGTCTCGCTCTCTCTCTTAATCTCCTGCTCAATGATACGGCAAGCTGTTTGTTCCTTCCTTTGCTTAGCCATCAGCTTCTTCTTCAGCCTTGTGTTCCAGTAATTCTTGATATCATTGTCGGTTCTTCCAGGTAATTGTGCAGCAATGATAGACCATCTGTAATACATAATTAAAATCAACACATATTAGAATCATATTTCCATCTAAGAAAACTGTTTATTTATTTTTAAAATCCATCAGAAATATAGTTTCATATCATGGTTTAAGAACGACTAGTGGGATTATGGCTACACCTAGACCTCCATAATTGCATCTCCATGACTAAATTAAGCCGTCTAGTTACTGGAGAGAATCTCGATCCACTTAGACCTTTCTTATAGAATGATTCATACTAGTGTTAACATTTCCTCTTTTTTTTTCTTTTTTTTTTTTATCGTTTTTATCTCATTTATTATTGTTTACGAAGTTTTTTTTTTCGATATAGATTTGGGCTTGATCAGTTACCTGCTTCCAATACTGAGGTACAAGCTGCAGATGATATTTTCTTCATCTTCAGTGAACCCTCCATGCTTGATATTAGGTCGGAGATAATTCAACCATCGAAGTCGGCAGCTTTTTCCACATCTCTTAAGGCCTAAACCAATAACTCAGGTTAGTAATACTGAAATAAACTTTACTAGAAAGACAAAAAAAAAAAAAAAAAAAAAAAAAAAAAAAACCATGTATGAATGTATGATCATGAAGATGTATACATATTTAATATATTTTGCTTACCAATTTTCAGTGGCAGCGCGATCCAGTTACCTCCTGTGCCCTTTTGCTCAATATAAGCCTTGAGAGTTGCATCTTCTTCAGGTGACCAAGGACCTTTCTTTACGTTGGCTTTATCACAGCAAGGTGCTCTTCCCATCTTATTGTTTTTGAATTTTGTTTGTTTTTCTCTCTTTTAATCTTTGTTTGGTGTAGAAGTTTGTGCAAAGTTTTAGCTCTTATATTGGCTGTAGATTGTGAATTATGATGAATTGTGTCGTATAAATATGTGTATGAGAGTATATATAATGGTTAGTGAGGAAAGACAATAATAGCTGGAGAAAGAGAGATATGGAACAAGTCATTGGATTTCAAAAAGGAAGATTAGAAAAAAGGATCTAACTTTATGATTAAAATAATGGATAATTTTGAAATGTTTAGAAAGTAGAACAGAGTTTTCCTCATTGTCTTTCCTAGTCTAGAATCTAATATATCATATTTTTTTTGCTTTTTTAATTCTTCCTTTCTTTATACTATCTTTCTTCCACATTATGGGTACTAATTAATTAATAATGTTACATAATAATACAATTAGGAGGTGGCCTATCTACTAGAAACAATGTGAAATCAGAAAAGACAAATAGACTTAAGATATGCTCATGAATTATTCTACCTTTGTTCCAAAAAAATAATAAAATGTTTTTCAAGAGAAATTAATCTCCTCTAAAGTCAAATGAAGTTCTGCTTTGTACTATTCTTGTGGTTTTTAAAAATTATGCATGGTATGTAGGTGTGTAAAATAAGGAGTCCACCCTCTACTTCAAAATATCATTTGTCGACACTTTTGCGGTAAAAATTTGATTGATGTTGGAGTAATTTTTATCAGAAGTAGATTATGAGAATAAGAAAATATATTACATGTGTCCTATTATTGAAAATGCTTTCACAACAAAATTATTTTTCATTTTTTTGATGTTTTAAAGGAAGTGTAAAATATGCTTAAATGATATCTTTGTTAATAGTGACAAGACAATATTACGTGCGGTGTATATCTAAAGTATCCATCTTAATGGTCGTAGGAAGAGTCAAACTAGAGGTGATTAACATATTTTTTCAATCAAGTTGGTACCGTTTATATTTGGGTGAAATCAAAATGTTCGGTCAAGTTGGGTTTAGTATTAAGTGATTGCATCGTTTGTACTTGTAGAGGAAAGATCGACCGAATAAACTAACAATCTGTACCATAAAAAAGACAAGTAATGAATTAATGCTATTGTACGGTTTAAATTTTCTTAATGTGATTAACTACAAACTTTATGCAACAGATCATATATGCGACTATGCGAGGTTGAGTTCAAGTTGATCTAGTTTTGTGATTAAAAGTAAATTGACTTTGATCCGTAAATTCTGAACTCTTGCTTGATCTTCATAGGCTGGGCGGCAATATTTTCTGGTCAGACTTTGATTTTTTGTTTAGTCTCCCCCGCACATTGGATAATGGGAATTTTGGGCAAGGCTTCATGTTTATATTTCCATTATAGGTTCTATGACTTTAATCAGAAATATAGGACACCCAAGTTATATTTATATGGTTTGGTGTTTTTAGTAAACTCCTTGAAGCTTTGACCTAATGACCTTTATATAAGTTGATAAATTTCATTTTCATCCCCAACTTTTTTTCCCCCAAAATATCGTTATCTTTTTTTAGGTGAATGAACAAACCCTATCCTTGATTTCTAAACGTTGCATGCCATTCAAGGCTACAATTTCCTGTAAAGATCAAGTACAATGCACATCATTTCGTAAAAATCATGCTGTAAAGCTTATACATTTTCATGATTGGAGGAACTATCATTATTATTTCTTTTAGTGAGCAATCAAATTGTCTTTTCATTAGGGTAGGTCCCATTGCTATCCTCATTATCAAGTGTCAACCCCTTTTATTTCTATATCATCTAACCTAACATTAGAAAGAGAAAGAGAGTGAGATAGATTTACAAGTCACAAACTCACAATTGTTAATTCTTCTTTTTCTTCATTTAATTGTACTCTCGTGGTAAATTCTATGATACTTCGATCTGCAAATTTAAGTCAAAATGTCCTTTGAGAAATATGATGAAGCAATTATTAGTCTCTTAGTTCAAGACTGAAAATGCCATCTCATTTGTTAATAATAACTATCTACGTGTTAGATAGCTTATATGTGTAATGGTGTCTATGTAATGACTTGAAATAAAAGGCACAAAGTAAGATACTAACCAATTTTATTAAGGTGGGGGAAATTGGTGGTATTGTTTTACTGTCGATTCTTCATTTTATTCATGGTAATGCACTCGTGTGGTAAAGAATTAGAAAAGGGTAACTTTTAGTCAAATTCGGGAATATATTACACACCTTGTTTTTTTTTTTTTTTTTTTTTAGTAAAGACTTTTCACTACTTGCTAATCACCTTATATCTTGTGAAATTGTTTGTAATAATTGCACAATATAATAATCTTACTTAAGAATGACTCGGGATAAAAGGCACAAACTCATAGGATACTAACTAATTGTATCATTGTAAGGAAGAAATTATATTGTTTAGAGCTTTCACTTCCTGGTGGGTGACCAAATGGCTAACGATATGAAAGTTACTGCTTCTGTGAGCAACATATTGACTGATTGTAAAGGTGTATGAACATAAAATCTTTTTAAAATATATACATTGACAACTTGTTAGCAGAAGTTTCGGTATGATTATTGGACCACACAGGTTATTAAGCTAAAAGGACATAAGTAAACACATAACCTTCTCCCTTGTTATTTGCTAACTTTAAGTCAAAAAGAATGAATTACCCTTAACTAATCATCTCTGATTAAATATTTGCCTATCAACCGGGAGAGAACGCAATAGGTTATAGATTTTAATGAAAGTTATCTTTGGTACGTTGAATACGTCGTCTTTGCTACGTAAAAACTGGATTAACCAGTAAAACCTTCTCGAACGTAGTTAATCTACTCGTATTTCTTGTTTTCTTACGTAATTAGCAAGAAGGTAATTAGTTTAATTATTCTTTTAATAATCATAGTTGGGGAGACGAGGAATACAAGTTGAATAAATTATTAATGCTTTGAGCTCCTATCAGACCTTAGCTAGATAGCATTAAATCTGCTCAAATAATATGTTTTCTACTGACTTATGTCTCTCGATCATGGCTTCGGTGGAAGAGAATTAAAAAAAAAAGGTAGTCTGAATTAATCTTGCATTTTCTTTTGACTCAAAACGATGTCTCAAGTGTTCATACATACCATGTAAGAATTTTTTTAATGAAAGGGGTAACTTTAATTTAAGCGTAATGAATAGTGCAACACTGAATTAATGAAGCTAGCTAGTACTCTTATTGACGAGGCCAAGAGTAGTAATTATAAAATGGACTATTTTCCTTATAATTTGAAGTTTTTTAAGATTTCAATTCAAACCTATTGACAAATCTCAGTTATCACCGCCCCAAGGAAAAATTAAGTTACCTATAGCTGCAAAATTATCTTCTGAATTTGTTGAAATTAAACCAAGTGGTATGTCTAAATTAAGATATTTTTTGAACGTTTATTCAACATGTTTGATTGTTCTGAACTTCTGTACCACTGTACTTTGAATCTCCTTTAGGGATAAAGTTCTAAACTAATTAAGTTTTATACTTTATGAGAAATTTAAACGATTGCTTTTAACCTTTCTAAAGCTTACATGTTCAAGATACCAAATTTGACTATATGCTGCTCTGCAAATCTTTGCTTATTACTTCGTATGATTATCAAAACTGGTATTTATATACTTCCTCGGTTATGTTATTATTGCACCATTAGTGATTTAACGCTTGTCAATATATTTCATTACACTTTTGTAAAAATTATAAAAATTTGATCTTTGAAATGTAGATTTCAAGACGAATCTAACTAGATCAAACATGACTATGATAAATCACAAATGATGGTCAAAGAACATTATGTGAATAATGTAAAAGTCTTTATGGTGCATTAAAAAAAACAGAGGAAGTATTAGAATTAACATAATACTCAATAATACGGATTAATGTTGTTTCTGGAAGTATTAACTACAACATACTTTGTACGTGGTATTATAATTGATCAAAATCTCTAATTATTTATTTCAAAGAAGTATATGAATTCACTATATATTATCTTACTTATTGAAACTAGTAGCCGTTGATCTTATTGGATATGAGTATTATTCTAATATTATACTCCAACTTTTTTTTTAATTTTAAGGAGTATAATATTATAAACTTGAAATAAATCGATTTAGACGTTTTTCTTATTCATGATAATGACACAAACCACTAAGGAAAAAAAAAAAAAAAAAAACAAGGGATTACCCTTGAGGAAACCTACTATCACTTTCCAGTTACATCACAAAATTTGACCTATTCAGGATCTGTTTTTCTTGTTTCCAAAGGTGGGCTCCTCGCTCCTATTCCTTCCAATTTCGTTACCTTCACTCACCTACTCACTCTCCTCATTTCTGAATCAGCTGCTCCCCTTAAAAATGACACCCTTCACAATTTAAAGGAAAAATATTAAAGTGGTATTAACTAATTAAAGTTTCCTTCATTCTTCAACCTTTCTGGGTTGTCTCAGTATTTTACAACTTGTCACCTTGTTGTCTTGTTCAAATTGGCATTTTAATGTCATTTTATCTTTGTCTTTGTCAAATCGCTAATTATATTTGATCTTATAAATACTGAGTAATTAACTTCTTATTGACATGCCATGATCATTTCCGTGTTTTAAGAGTAACATGCATCCTTCTCTATGCACATGATGTTGAACCTTGTTATTATAATTGGTATGAATTTGGTATCATGCAATTCTAATCTAGATCTTATATTAGTCAGACTCATTTTACACAATTGTAATGATATATACTTGGAGCATGTTTGAACCAAGATTGTTATTACTAAGTATATGGTTAGAGATCAAGTTTAAAAAATTATTAACTTTACTTGGGTGTAATGGTGTAGACCTTGTTGTTACTGCTCTACAACCTATGGTATTAATTACCATTACCCTCCTTAAACACATGAATTTAAGTGATTCCTTTTTAAGGTTAAACCAAATAATTGAAAAGATGAGAGTTTATTGATTCAATGCGATCCCTTCTTATTTGTTTTCTTTCCATTTTGTTCTTTTATAGTATACATTTGATGCATGGAAGCACCCATTAAAGTCTCATATTCCATTTCAAAAGTTACACAGTTATAAGTTCTTTAAAAAAAAAAAGTTATAGGTAATGTAGGAAAAGTAAGGGAAAATCTTTTACTTTCAACAAATTAAATAGCAGGATTTCTTCCACCATAGATCTTTAAAGCCTTCAAATGTCAAAAAAAAATCTTTATCTTTAAAATAAAATAAAAATAAAAAAATAAAAAATCCATGACTAAACATAAATTAACTCCAATAACATTATATTCATGTATCCCGTTCC